TGAAGCAGACTGATGTTGAGGCTAAAAGCAGGCTGAGGCCGAGGCTGAGGCGGGCTGATGGCTGAGGCAGGCTGAGGCTGAGGCTGTGACTGCGACTGCCGTTGCCACTGCGACTGCCACGCGAATGCGACTACGCTGCGAGAACAGCAAAGTTACCCACAACATAGTCCTCATCTGAATCTTAAGGGGAATGCTTCCCATATGCTCCTACACATCGCTGTTAGGTTGTTTTGCCGGATAATTTCTCAAGATTCCGGCAAGATTGCTCGCATGAAGTGGGGAGGGAGGGGGCGTGGCCAGGTCTGAACTGAAATCTGGACTTCAGGCGCGTGGGGACTCGCACGCCTCTTCGGCCCAGCGCTGTCTGAAAAGGCAACACGTTCTCTTCTGGTCCTCCTGCTCCTCCCGCTGATCCTGCTCCTGTTCCTGCTGCTGCAATTCCCCCTCGCCCTCCTCCTTCCTCCTCCTTCTCCTCCTCCTGCTCTCCCACCACATTGCACATGGCTCCAATTTCCAAATTGCGCGCAACACGATGGGGCTATGATTGGGTGCTCCATGTCCGCTACGGCACCCGCTGGCGGATGGAGAGAGAAATTCAACGCGATGGGAAGGGCTGGGATGGGAGGGGCAGGATGTCAGGTGTGGTGCGAGCGCGCCTGGCTTGCCATCCTGTTCCTCTACGCTTCCCTCCTGTCATCCGTCCCCTCATTCCCTCCCCCTTCTCCTCCTCCCACCCTCTCAAATCTTGGCAGCGCGCACAAGGGGAAGGAGCGAGGGGGACAGGATTCAAAAACTACCAAAAAACTGCTGAAGGTCCGCTCGGATGTCTTGGATCTGCGCTGGGCTCCCCTCTCCTCTCTGGTGCGCGGAGCGCGCCAAGCGCGGCGCTGGAGGCGCCACCACGGGCGTCCAGCGCCGATCCGAGAAATCCGCGTGGTCCTCCGAAACTGTACGTTTCTGTGATGCTGTGCTCTGCGACTCCCAGAAGGGAGGCAGGAGGGCTGCCGGGTTCCCCTCTGCCTCCTTGGAGGGCCGCAGTCCCCCGCGCCACCCCTGCTCTGCGAGTCGCCGACTCGCGCCTCTGACTCTCTGCCCCACCTTTATCCTCTCTCCAAGTCAATTTCTGAAAGGTCTTTGGCGAGAATGCCACAAGGCGACGAATTCTCCTGAGCCGAATCTTTGAATCGAAGTTTTGAGGGCGGATGGCCGAAGGTTCGAAGTCGGGCTGAATTCGCACGTCGTGCATCGCAATTTCATCCGAGCTCGCTCCGCGACGGGCAGCACTCACGCCCTCCTCCTTGCCCGCCCCCACGTCCAGGCACCGTGCAGCGTGGAGACCCGGTGCCATTAGGCAGCAGAGAAGCCACGCGGCTCAGTCGCCCAGCGCAAAGATGGGCACCATTGGGCAGCAAAGAACCCCGGCGGCTCAGTCGCCCAGCGCAAAGATCTGTCGGAGCGCGATGCCCGGGCCGTGGGGCGCGAGTTGGCGGAACAGGCGCAGGAAGCCAGCGAAGTCCACCTCCGCCGCGCTGCTGTCGGTGCTGAACCTCGGCCGTGGGGCACGTGGGTGCCCCGCCGGGCGGCAGCGCGTCCAGGCGTGGAGGGCTGGTCTGGAGGCGGGGCTCGGGAGAGAGGGGCGCGCTGACGTGGGGGGGGGGGGGGGGGCGCGTGGGGGGCCCAGGGGCGACCACGAGGTCCAGCATGTCTGGGGGAGAGCTCGGATCTGCAGCCTCGGGAGAGTGTCCTCCCAACGCCGGACGCGCGGCCAACGCCGAGGAAAGAGATGGGCCTGTATCACAAAGCTTCCACCACACAGCTTCCACCCAAGACTCTGCACCACATGGATTACACACGAATCGACAGCGACGATGTGGGTTTGCAACGCACAGCGTGCACCACATAACTCACATCACACAGCTTACGACGATGTGGGCTTGCATCACGTAGCTTGCACAACATGGCTTCCACCACATACTTTGCACCACATGGCTTGCGACGAGTTTGGTCTGCACCACGTACATTGCACCGCATGACTGGCGTCACGTAGCCTGCACCGCTCAGCTTGCACCGAACGTGCGTCGGTGTGGGTCGCAACGCCTAATTCGCACCACGAAGCTGGCGCCATGTAGCTGGCATAACAAACTTACACCGCATAGCTTGCACCCGCTTTTTCAACCAGCGGCGCTGCGCTGCCTTTCGCGGCCGCTGTTCGGGGTCTCTCGCTTTTTGCCATGGTTTAGGCTCCTCGTCGCTGCAGTCGGTCAGACTCAGCCGTGGCTGGCGCTTGGGTGCACCTTCTGGTGGCCCTGAACAGCGAAGCGTGGGGTCGCTGGTGTGACGTGTCGATCAGGAAAGCTATGAAGCAACTGCATGTGCAAACACAATGGGGCGAAAAACTGGCTGGCCGCTCATCATCCAAGTGTGCAGGAGGAGGAGCGGGAGAAAGGGGTAGGACCATAATAATCCCACGATGGATCAACTACCTATACGACCACCCTTCGTGTGATAAGGAGGTCGTTAGGGGGGGGTCAGCTTTCTGTGTGCGATTGGGGGTCGGACAAGATTCGGCGGAAACCAGTTGGTACCACGGAGTTCCTTTTTGGCCATCTATCGATCGATCCCACTCTGTATCTACCTGTCGATCTCTCTCTACCTATCGATCTCACTAACTATCACAATCAACATCACTACCGATCTCGCTATCGATTCGTCGATCGATCGCACGATCGATTCAATGACCACGGAACACCACAAGACACCACGGGAGACCACGGGGCACTGCGCCGCGGGACACCACGGGACACCACGAGACTCTGGCGGGACAACCCCCGGAGCCACCGCCGGCAGACCGGGGGGCGTAGAGTCATTGAGTTCAGATTCGCCCTAGCCGCGGCGGGTTCATTCCTCTCGTCTGCCCACGCAGCTTTGTCTCGCCCGCGCGCGCAAGACACGAACACAAAACCGAAACCGATTTCTCAGTGGGGGATCTCCGTTCCACTTCGAACTCACCCCCCAACCTCCGATGCTGCAATACGCCCGCTCCCAATGCCACGGCCCCTTATCAGTTACGCTCCGTGCTCCCAGGGCCACAATTCAATGCGAATCACACTGAATGCGCGCTCCAAGGGTCACGATGCTTCCAAATCAGCTGGCCCCCTTGCGGGGCCGCCAGGCCGCGAGGGTGAGGACTGCAGCTCCCTGTTCCAGTTGCAATTTCCAGTTTCCACTCTTACAGTCCTGCTTTCTGCTTCCTTACTGTTAATTGAAGCTGAACGCGAGAGGGGTGGGAGCCCCAAACCAGCTTTTTACCACGCCCAGACGGCGTTGTCTGAATTCCTTGGAGGCGTGGGGCACAAACAAATACATGAGTTCGCGTCCCCGAGGCCGTAATCCCTAGTAAATTACGCCGTATTCGCGTCCCCGAGACCATAATCCTTTTTTAAACTACACCATATTCGCGTCCCCGAAGCCATGATCATTCGTAAGTCACGCCATATTCGCGTCCCCGAGGCCATTAACCTTTGTCAATGACACAATGTTCGCGCCCCCGAGGCCAGAAACCCAAGTGAATTACGGAATATTCGCGCCCCCGAAACCATAAACCTTTGAACATTATACAATATTCGCGTCTCCAAAGCCAGAAACACTCACATGTTAAACAGTACTTGCGTCCCGGAAGCCACAAACCCTTGCAAATTACACAATGCTCCTACACCCGAGGCTATAAACGTTTGTAAATTATGCGATGTTTGCGCCCCCGAGGCCATAAACCCTCACAGATGACGCAACAGTTGCGTCCCTGAGGCCACAAACCCTCGTGCATTACACGATGTTCGCGTCCCCGAAGCCATAAACCATAGTAGATTACACAATGTTCGCGCCACCGAAGCCACGAACCATCGTAAATCCATATTTGCCCTCGCGGGAAGTCCGGACACTGCTTCACGTCAGCGTCCAGACATCCCAACACAGCTCTGGCAAGTCCCATTCTAAGAGAGGGGGCCGGCGGCATGGGGGCGAAACCCTTGCGGATTACTCTGCGTCCGCGCGCACAAGCCGCGCTCCCAGAGCCGCGATCCCTCGTTCAATTAGGTTGCGTCCGCGCTCCCATGGCCACAATCCAGTTTAAATTACGCTGCGTCCGCGATCCGAGAATCACGATCCATCGTAAATGATGCAGATCCGCGCTCCCAGGGACACGACCCCTTGAGAATTACTATTAGTTCGCGCTCCCAAGACCACTATCCCTGTTCAACTGTTGCGCGTTCGTGCTTCAAGGGCCACGATCCCTTGTACATTACGCCGCGTCCGCGCTCCCAAGGCCACAATGCACATTGATTACGCAGCGCCCACGCTCACAGGGCTACAATACCTCGCAAATTACTCAAAGTCCGCGCTCCCATGGTAGAGGCCTCCTACATGGGGTCCGAGTAGATGGGGTCGAAGGATCGCGGCGCATCGCCAATGCATCGCCGATACATCGGCGATGCATCGGCGATGCATCGGCGACCCATCGGCGACGTCGGCGATAAATCGGCCACGTCGGTGTGGGGAAACACGGGCTCCACGTCAAGCATCGGCGATGCATCGGCGATGCGGCACGATCCTCCGACCCCATCCACTCTCTACTCTGACCCTATCTGGGAGGCCTCGACATGGCCCTAGGGCATCCAAGGCCGTCCTGGGGCTCTCTGGGACAACAGCACCCTGTTATTTGTCAGGGATTCTGCGCGCGGGGAGCGCCATCCTCGAGAGGCCACGCACAAAATCAACCTGCTCACATCTGCTGTAAGCCAACCACAAGGATGCTGCGTAAAACGCTCCGCGCCTGCTTACTGGGGAAAAGACAAGTCTGCGGACCCCGACGTTTTATCGAGGATCCGATACGGGTGGCGCACTTCCCTCGAACGAGCATGCGCGAAACACATATAGCGTCTTCATATAGCTTTAGAACAATTATTAAACAATTCTTTGGTGGGCCTATGGGCGAGCCAACACGCTTCGCCACTGCTTGAGTTGGGGCGCAGACCCTGAAGCCGGCTTCTCGTCCTGAGTCGTTCCTTGACGGCCCCGAGGCCCCGAGGAAGGGCCCTGGAGACCGCCAGAAACCGTGCGCTCGCCCATTTTTGTCAGGGCCTCGCACCTTTAGGCACCCGTGTCCTCCAACCCCCCTGTGGGGCAACGATGGGAGGTTGACGGTTTCCCCCAGGGCCGCAGGCGACCCGAGGAAAGGAGGGCGAGAGGAGGAGGAGGAGGAGGAGGAGGAGGAGGAGGAGGAGGAGGAGGAGGAGGGAGGAGGAGGAGGAGGAGGTGGAGGTGGAGGAGGAGGAGGAGGAGAGAGGAGGACGGGTCGCCCACGCCCTTTGGAGAAACCCTCCAACAGGGGGCGGGGGGGGGCTGGCACAGGGGGGGACGCACCGACCTGGAGTCGGCGATACATTGCCAGCGATAGGACTCCGATGGATCAGCGATGCATCGTCGATAGATCACCTTCCTGAGTGGGCTGGGCCTTGAGGGCACCCATCGGCGATCCATGGGCGATCGGGGGTCGAGGCCCCCCCCCCTGTGCCCATGCCCCCGTATAGTCTCCCCCCGACTCCCCCCTGGGATCGCTCAACCTTGAACGATCGGCCGCTTCCGAAGATCCGATCGCTCAACATCCACCAGCTGGCGGCGTTCAAATTTGAACGCCGGCGGCGGGTTTGCCGCCGGTCGGCACGACGCGATCCTACCGTAATTACTCCGAATTTCTTAACAAGCGTGGGTTTGTGGCGTCACCTCCGCCGACAGCCACACATCGAACCCCGTCGCGGGCAGCCACCGCGCGCCGAAGGCGCTCCGACCCCCGTCGCGGCGCGACGACGAGGCGAGGTTGACCCCCGTCGGGGGGGGTACCCCCCCACGCTTATTGAGAAACCCAGAGTGCCCAGGTCCTCCCCCCCACGCTCTCCTGGGACCGAGCGGCAGAACTCCTGCAGCAGACCCCACAAGGCCTCCGGCCTCATCTCGAGGTGCAGGCGGTCCGCGATGGCGCGGATGGCCGTGACGCCCAGGGACTGCAGGGACCCCAAATTCAGATAGCAAAACATCCACCTCCTAAAGACGGAATCGAACAAGGCAGGGCTTTTAGTAAACACCCGAAAGCCGTTCCGCGAACGCCAATTGTACGGTCCGGGTGGTTTCCCTCCCTTGAAAATTCGAGGACCAAGAAACGGCATAGGAATCAACTTTTGGGGGCCTCGCGGATTTCCTGGAACGGCTTTGGGCCCCCTCGCAACGCCTCTGGCGCCGTCCCTGGCGCGCTCCGCGCGCCAGGGGGTGGGGCCCAGCGCAGGTCCAAAAAGTCCCCGCGAAACGCCAGAAGTTTATGTGTATGACGCTTGTCCTTCTGCCCTGACTCTCCGACGACGTGGTGTTGTTTGTCGACCAGCGGTTGTACCTCGGCTTCGGCCCTCGGGGGCCAGTTCAGGCCCCCAGGCCCTCAAACATGGACCCGGGCCAAACACCCCCCCCGCCCGGGAAGCGGTCGGGAACTTGGTAGGTGTCTGTTATAGTTTGGGTTTCAACATTGGGCCGAGGGCTGAGGGGGGGGGTCAGGGTCTCGGCTGCTAGTCGACGTGCTTCTACCAGTTGCGCAAGCAGGCCGGGGGAGGGGCCCAGACCAATCGCCCCAAGCAGCTGCCAACAGCGCCCAGGATCTGGTCTTTGGGGGAGGAGGGAAGGCAAGAACCCCGCGCGGATCGGCGAAACAATCAGTAACTTGATCTACGATTCTGGGGCCGCGGATTGAAAAGCTGCATCGATGGACGTCAGGGATTGCGGCTCTCTGTCCAGCAGGACGCATAGACAAAGGAGCAATCGCGGGAACGTCGCAATGAACAATCTGGGAACACGTCCGTCGTCGATTCTGAGGGTCCTGAAACCCCCACTTTCCTGTGGTCCTTGGGCCCATCAGGGGATGCGAAACTTTCGCGGGACACCTGCTGGCAGGCCGATTTCATATTTGACGCGCTGGCTGGAGGTTGGCCGGCGCGGCCTGGGGGCTGGAATCTTCCCTGGACTTCGGCCGGCTGGCCTGAGGGCGCCGGGAGGGGCCTCATCCTCCTCTTGGCGCCCCTCTCCCCGGTGCCATGCCGACCAGCCATAACTGGGGGAGCTGTGGTCCTTACCCCCCTGGGGGCCCATCGCGTCGACGATCTCTCGAGAGGGGTGTCGAAATCGATGGGTCCCCCAGGGGGGTAAGGACCACAGCTTCCCCCAGTTGTGGCTGGCCCGCCACGTCTCCGTCTCCTGGCGGCCTGCCGCGGACGGCAGTGCGGCGCCTTCGGCGGCGGGCGGCGGCCGCGCGGCTCGCTGCTGCCTGGCCGCCGCCGGCGAGGGCCCTCCGCGGCGGCCGACTCGGCCCACGCGGGGGGCGCCTGCCCGGCGGCCGCGTGCCCTGCCGGCTCGGTTGTTGGCGTTGCTTCGGCGACCACCGCCGCTGCCTCGCCGGCCGCGGCCGCTCGGGCGGCTGCTGGTGCTGCGGCTGCGGCGGCGGCCGGGTCGGCGGCTGGCGCCGCCGCTGCGGTCGCCGCGGGTGTTGTCGTCTCCGCGGCGGCTGGCGCGGCGGCCGCGGGTGCTTCCGCCGCGGCGGCTGCCGGCGCGGCCGCGGCAGCGGTGGCCGCCGCGGCCCGCGCGGTCCCATGCGGGCCGCGGCCCGCGGGTTCAACCCCCTCCGCCACCCCCCGCACCCAATCTCCGGCGGTTGCCGTGCGGCGGGGCGGGCCGACGGGGCAGGGCAGGTGGGGCGGCCCGCAAACTCTAGGCGGGAGGTGACGGGCACGAAGAGTCAGCAGAGCAAGCGACCAGGCAGTCGCATATCCTCTAGCGGCTCACGCTGGGCCACCTCCACGGGCACGCCAAGCCGCGCTCGGCAAGGAAAAACGAGAACGGCACATCTCCTCTGGCCGCTCTCGCCGGGCCACCTCGAAGGGCACGCCGAGCAGCCTCAGGGAGGGCAGGGTAGGGAACAGGAATCGCACTTGACGGCAACATCGGAGCAGCACATCTCCGCCAGCACCTCGCGCCGGGCCACCTCGAAGGTCTCGCGGTACAATCTCAAGAAGGATCGGGCACGTAGCCGAAGCGCACTTGCAAGCGAAACCGGAGCGGCGCATCACCTCTAGCAGCTCGCGCAGGGCCATCACGAATGGCACGCCGCGCAGCATCAGGGTGGGCGGTGCATTTAGCAGAAATTGCACTTGCCCGTGATACCGAAGCGGCGCATCCCCCCTAATTAGCATCTCGCACTGGGTCACCTCGACGGACACGCGGTGCGCATCGCGGAGGTCAGGGCACGCAACAGAAGTGCACTTGAAAGCGAGACCGGAGCGGTGCATTCCATTTAGCCGCTCGGGCTGGGCCTCCTCGAAGGGCGCGCCGCGCAGCCTCGGGGAGGGCAGGGTCGGTGGCAGAAGTCGCACTTGCCCGCAAAACCGGAGCAACGCATCTCGTCTAGCAGCTCGCGCTGGGCCACCTCGACAGAGGGGGCCCCTGGAGAGGATGGCCCCTCTTCCCCCGAGGCCATGTGCGACCCCTCGCTAAGCCCCGGAGCCTGAGGCTGCCCTGGACCAGCCAACGCCTTCCCCTGAAGCTCACCGACATCCAGCCAGAAAGTCGGGAAAGGAGCGCCCAGACGATCCAGCGGGCGGCCGAGGTCACAGGCCACGATGCCGAGGCGACCTGCGTGCCGTCCGCCTTAGCCTCGAACGTCGCCACTGGCGTGCCTCTCGGCTCCTGGGCGCGAGTGCGGGACAGTGACGGCCGGGTCTACGCGATCCACCCTGGCGCGGCCGCTTGCCCAGAGGCCACGCCGGCGACGCGCGCCGACGGCTCCTACGGCCGCCGCTACCTGGCGAACCTCGGGCTAACGCTTCCTCCCTGTAGCCTGCGAGCTGGGCCAACAAGTCGCGCCGACAGTGCGCCACTGGGGTAGTGAGACGAAAGATTTTTTTTGTGCCCAGACAGAACACCTGGGCGACACAACCCGAAGGGAGGTGCCCAAGGTGCCTGCATGAATTCACATGCAGTCGGACCTCGCAACACGAACGGCGGCACGGACCGCCCCCGGCGTTATCCGCGCCGCCGTTGCGAGGTGCCTCGAGATGCCACCCCGAGACACTGCCACCGGCACCAGTGAGACGAAAGACCTGGACGAGGCAAGCAGGGCGGCGGACAGAGAACCGCTTCGCCGTCTGGCCGAAAGGAGCCGCTTCGGCCCGACTCGCTCGCCATCGTCTGCCAGCGACCGAGGGTGGCTCCCGACGAGTGGGTGGACGGCACCTCTGCGGTGGGCTGCCAGGCGTCGGCGGAAAACGAGGCGGAGACGGTCCTGGGCGAGGTCGGCGACGAGGCGGACGGCGTCTGTGGCAAAGACGCGGACGACGTGGAGGAAACGGCGGCGCTGGCGGCGTGGAGTCGCCGAACCCTACGCCCCGTTCGACGCCCTCCCAGACGCCTTTCCCGACGCCTTTCCCGGCGCCCTTCCCGAGCTCGACGCCGGCGCGGCGGGCCGCGCCCCCGAGGTGGCGCAGGAGGCGGGGCCCGTAGCAACTTGCGACTGGTGACGCCAATGGCGGCGTGGTACAGCGTGACCTCGAGCTGAACACTGCCTTGGCTCTGAGCGCCTGGCGTTCGGCACCGTGTGCCGAACGCCAGGCGACCCCCTCCACGATGGCCCAGACTGCTGGCAGGCTGCGCTGGAGCTGCGCGGCGAAGTCTCGAGAGTCGCGCTTCGGACGACGCATTCTGACGCGCTGGTAACCAGCGCGTCAGCATGCGACGCTACTTGTCTGTGCGTGACCACTCATGAACTGCAAAACCACCAGAGAAATCCGATTGAACCCTGGGCGGGGCAAGATTACGCAAGCGCCTCTCCGCTAGGCCAGTCGAGCAAGACCGCGCCTGTCCCGCCAGCGAGGGGGCGGACCACGCAAGAGCGGGAGCTCAACTTGCGAAGCGCGCGCGAGTGGCAAACGAAGCCAACGGGCAATGACAGACACAACGAAGAGGCGCGCGTGAGTGCGTCAGACTAGGGACCATCGCCGAGGGCAACAAGCACTCGACATCGCCAAGCTGCTCTTCTTTGCCCGATGAAAGCCATCATTTCCTCGTGACGTTCACAGCGCAGCAAACTGCGGGCCCGATGGCGGCGCCAAGGATCGACAAAAAAGTGCAAAGCAACAAAGGGCCCCCTTAGGTGTGCCAAAAGGGGTCGTTGGTCAACGCGCTGCGGAGGTTCGGTTGTCCGGACAAGTTCGTGCGCATGGTCGCCAGCATCTACGACAATCGCGTCTTCACTTTATCATATTCAGGTGCTACATCTGGAGGGGGGAAGCAGCAGTATGGAATTTGTCAGGGCTGCCCCCTATCACCATTCCTATTCACACTCTGTATGACAACCCTGCTTCACGATGCTTATCGTGAGCTGCGTAGGCGTCGCAGTGAGGAAGTGCTGGGGTAGTGAGAGACTTGGTGTACGCAGATGACACGCTTCTGATCGGCAACAACCCTGAAGTGATCCAGGACCTCATGTGCTGCGTCGAGAGCTGCGGGGCGCACTACGGACTGCAATTCAATTGGAAAGAGGTCGGACTAATGAAGGTCCGGACCAACGAGAACGTGATGAATACCTTGGGCCAGCCCGTCGTCAGTAAGGAGTCGCTGATTTATTTGGGCACAGATCTTTCTGCAGATGGGAGAATGGGCGCTGAATTGAGCAGGAGGATTGGAAGTGCAAAGCGTGACTTTCAGACATTGCACACCATTTGGTCTCATTCTGTCTTGGGGCGGCAGCAGAAGGTGAAGATATTCAACGCGTGTGTGGTGTCAAAGTTGATGTACGTACTGTTTGCGGCATGCCTCAACAAGGCCGAACGACGCAGATTAGACAGCTTTTAGACAAAATGCTTGCGACATATTTTCCGCATACAGCCGTCGTTCATCAGCTGGGTGTCCAACGCCACTGTCTTGAGCATATCGAAACAGTCAAAATTGAGTGACTGCCTCGCCAGGCGGC